AGACATTTAAGCCAATGTCCACTTGCTTCAAAAGCAATTCAGCATCTGAAGCACCTGGAGATGCACAATATGTTAAGGAAAATGTCATTTTTCTAAAGAACAAGTTGTAACAGAAGTGAATAACCTGATATTTTTGTGACTCATGGTTGGATTTCATTAGTGGTTGCTAAGGGGAAAGCAGCTTGATGAAACAAACTGGTGGTTTTGAGAGGAGAACCTCAAGTATCTCCAAGTGGTGTGTGACTTGCCTAATTTTTCCTTTCTGTTTCCCTCTCCACAAACGGGTAGGTGGATGTCCACTGTTGAATATTACAGTAAGGAGCTGAAGCAGGCTCAATAACTGCTCAGTGCTGAATTAACTGATTTGTGATTATGGTAGGCTTTATTAATGGAAAGCGGAACAAGATGCAACAAAAGTTCTTGCACATTTATGGTATCTTGCCGCTACCCTCTGGACGACCCAAATCATTGTGGGGAATTATTTTGAAAAGAGAAATGCTGTAAAACACTGTAGCCGTCTCACATGCATGCACGTGCATGCACACACATGCACACACGCACACCCGCATGTGCATCACATCCCTCAGACAATAATGAGATCAATTTAAATTGGCATCTTATTTTATTTTCTCTAACTCCACACAATCAATTCAGACCCAGACAATCTACATTCCAACTACTTAAGGAAGTGGCCCCAGAAATAGTGTAAGCATTGTTGGTCATATTTCAAGTTTCTGTAGACTCTGGAACAGTTCCTAGGGGTTAGAGGGTATCTAATGTAAAACCACTATTTGAAAACAAGCAGTAGAGTGAAAACAGGAAATAAAGACCAGTTAACCTGACATTGATAGTGGCAAAAATGCTAGAGTCCATTGTTAAAAATTTAACAGCAGGGCACATGGAAAACAGTGATGGGATTGGACAGAGTCGGCATGGATTTACAAAAGGGAAATTATGCTTTACAGATCTATTGGAATTTTTCAAGGATGTTACTATTTGAATTGATCAAGGGATCCAATGAATGTGGCTTACTTGGACTTTCAGAAGGTTTTCAATAAGATCCCACAGAAGAAATTAACGTGTAAAATTCAAACACTTGGAATTGAGATTAATGTACTGACATGAATAGAGTCTGGCTGGCAGACAGGAAACAAAAAGTTGGGATAAACGGGTGAATTGCTGAGTGGCAGTGAGCAGTGGGATACAACAAGGATTAGTGCTTGGACCCCAGCTACTCACAATATATTATAATGATTTAGATGCAATATCTCCAAATTTACACCAAGCTGGGTGGAAGGGTGAGCTGTGAGGAGGATGTGGAGATGCTTCAGTGTGAAGTTTGAAAGAACTGTGGATGCTGTAAATCAGGAACAAAAACAGAAGTTGCTGGAAGCTCAGCAGGTCTGGCAGCATCTCTGAAGGAAGAAAAATCAGAGTTAACGTTTCGGGTCCGGTGATCCTTCCTCCGTTCTGTTTTTTTTTCCGTTTTTGTTCCTTGCTTCAGTGTGATTTGGACAAGGTGAGTGAGTGAGCAAATGCATAGCAGCTGAAGTATAATGTGAATAAATGTGAGGCTATCCAGTTTTGGAGCAAAAACTAGAAGGCAGATTATTATCTGAATCATGATAGATTGAGAAAGGGAGAGGTACAATAAGAGCTGGATGTCCTTGTACACCAGTTGCTGAAGGCAAGCGTTGCAGGTGCAGCAGGCAGTGAAGAAGAATGGTATGTTGACCTTCATAGTGAGAGGATTCGAGTACAGGAGCAGGGATGTCTTGCTGCAATGGTACAGGGCCTTGGTGAGACCACATCTGTAGTATTGTGTGCAGTTTTGGTTTCCTTATCTGAGGAAGGATGTTAATGCTATAGAGGGAGTGCAGCGAAGATTTACCAGATTGATTCCTGGGAAAAAGCCATCCCCTACGGACAAGTCCTATGCATACACAGGAGCTGTTCAGATGAGGACGAATGTGACAGTCACCTGAAGGTGTTGAAAGATGCCCTCATAAGAATGGGATATGATGCTCAACTTATCAATTGTCAGTTCTGATGTGCCACAGCGAGAAACCGTAATGACCTCTTCAGAAGACAGACACGGGATACGACTGATAGGGTACCCTTCGTCGTCCAGTGCTTCCCAGGAGCAGAGAAACGACGCCATGTTCTTCGTAGCCATCAGCACATTATCGATGACAATGAGCACCTTGTCAGGATCTTCCCCACGCCTCCACTTCTCACCTTCAAACAACTGCCAAGCCTTAAACAGACCATTGCTCGCAGCAAACTACCCAGCCTTCAGGACAACATCAACCACAACAATGTACAACCCTGTCATAGCAACCTCTGCAAGACATATCAGATCATCGACATGGACACTATCATCACACGTGGGAACACCATCCACCGCGTGCATGGCAGATACTCATGTGACTCAGCCAATGTTGTTTATCTCATACACTGCAGGCAAGGATGCCCCGAGGCATGGCATATTGGCGAAACCATGCAGATGTTATGATAACAGATGAATGGACACCGCGCAACAATCGCCAGACAGGGATATTCCCTTCCAGTAGGGGAACACTTCAATGGTCAAGGACATTTGGCTTCGGATCTTCGGGTAAAAGTCCTCCAGGGTGGACTTCGGGATACACAACATTGCAGTGTCGCCGAGCAGAGGCTGATAGCTAAGTTCAGTACCCATGAGGACGGCCTGAACTGGGATCTTGGGTTCATGTCACACTACAGGTGACCCCATCACACTACACACTCACTCACACACGTGCACACACACACTCTCTCACACACTAACACACTCTCTCTCTCTCTCTCTCACTCACTCACACACACACACTCTCTCTGTCTGCGTCTCTCTCTCACACACACTCTCTCTGTCTCTGTCTCTCTCTCTCTCACACACACACACACACTCTCTCTGTCTCTCACATGCACGCGCACACACTCACTCTCACTCTCACTCTCTTTCTCTTTCTCATCACGCACACACACATATAAATCTATGGGGTGAATTTGCATTTGCAGATTTGTAATTTGAAATACATTCTATTTTGTTCAAAAAGCGTACAATTTGTAGACAGTCAATGTGGCATTTTATAAATTCCTACTTTGGAAATAAAACCAGTCTCACTCCAAGTTAAAACACAGACAGATTCTAAACAAGGCCTCACACCTCTGGTATACTGATAAAACCTTTATTATCTCGGGGCAGTGATTTGAAAGAAATAAATTCTGGGATTTGCATATTAATCAATTGAAACCTGCATCTCAGTTCTAACTGATTAAAGGTTTAACTGTTATCTGATGTTTGCTTAATAGATTTGCATCAGTTCTATGACCCTTTGATCTTTTGCTTACAAATTCTGTGTTTGATACCACCTCTCTCACTAACATCTGAAGAAGGAGTTAGACTCTGAAAGCTTGTGTTTTCAAATAAACCTGTTGAACTATAAACTGGTGTCATGTGATTTTTGACCTGATTCCTGGGATGGCAGGACAGGCACTTGAGGAGGGGTTAAATTGGTTAGGATTTCATTCACTGGGGTTCGGAAGAATGAGGAGAGAATCTCAAAAACCGGTAAAATTCCAACAGGACTAGACAGGGTAGCTGCAGCAAGGATATTCCAAATGATAGGGGAGTCCTGAACCAAGAGTCACAGTTGAAGGATATGGGGTAAACCATTTAGGATTGAGATAAAGAACAATTTCTTCACCCAGAGAGTGGTGAGCCCATGGAATTCACTTCCCGAAAACATTGCATGGTATCAAGATGAAGTTGAATATAGCACTCGAGCCTAACTGATCAAAGGATATGGGGGACAAGCAGGAACAGGCTATTGAGTTGGATGATCATGGTGAATGGCCTACTCCTTCTCGATTTTAAATGTTTTGTGTTCCTATGTTTATGTGTGAAGAAAGACTGGATCAGTTAGCACTATATTCACTTGAGTTCAGAAAAATGATGGGGGTGGATCTCATAGAAACCTATAAAATTCGAACAGGATTAGACAGGGTAGATGCAGGAAGGATGTTCCTGATGACCAAAGAGTCCAGAACCAGCGGTAACAGTCTCAGGATCCAGGTTAGGCTGTTTAGGACTGAGCTGAGGAGAATTTTTAACATTTAGAGAGTGGTAGCCTGTGGAACTCTCTGGCACAGAAAGTGGTCGAGGCCAAATCATCAAATGTTTACAAGAAGGAGTTAGATATCTTAGAGTTAAAGGGATTAAAGGGTATAGGGCGATAGTGGGAGCAGAGGACTGAGATTGCATGATCAGCTATGATCATATTGAATGGTGGAGCAGGCTCGAAGGGCCGAATGGCCTACTCCTGCTCCTATTTTCTGCATCATAATTTGAATTACATTTTGAAACACAGAAACAATGTGTGCCACTGCCAGCATTTTAAGCCTGTAAGTTGTTACGACGTTATCTGTAGTATCCCGACAGTGTGGAAACAGACCATTCAGCCCAACAAGTCCACACTGACCCTCCGAAGAGCATCCCACCCAGACTCACCCCCCCTTATCCTATCTCTGTAACCCTGCATTTCCCATGGCTAATTGACCTAGACTGCACATCCTTGGACACTGTGGGTAATTTAGCATGGCCAATCCACCTAAGCTGCACATCTTTGGACTCTGGGAGGAAACCCACGCAGACACGGGGAGAATGTGCAAACCCCACACAGACAGTCACCCGAGGGTGAATTCGAACCCGGGTCCTTGGTGCTGTGAGGCAGCAGTGCTCACCACTGAGCCAATTAGCTTGAGGAGGGAAGGAAGCTAATTCTGGCAGTTCTTGTATCTTTCATTTAGCATTTCCACAAGATAGATTAACTGAAAAAGCAATGTGGTTGAGAACCTGGATTAAGTTACTGTCAAAATACCACTCTGAGGTGTACTGACATTGAGATATATGTGGTGGGGTCAATGGCCTTGAACAATTGGACGTGTTGTTAATGCCACTCCATCTGTTGTTTTCACAGTGCCCAGAATTTACCAGTTATGTTGGGCATGAGGTCTTACTGGAGCGGTTACAGGAAGGCCGAAAAATGTGCAAGGACATGGAGGAACTGCTAAGACTGAGGTAAGATTTCAGAGTTCCTGGATTTTATGAAGCAACTATTTTGGTTGAGGAAACGAAGGAACAGCTGCAGCATTGAGGAACTGGAACCCTCCACTATGTGCCTAACTCCCAAAACATTTACTTTGAAAGTAAGTTTTTGCGCTCTGTTCCCCCCAAGGTTTTGGTGCCTGGTGATGTGATGCAGTTGCTCAGGATTTGACAGTTGTCCACTAACGTTAATGGAACCAGATTTAATATTTCCTCACCCATGTATCTATTCTTCATGCCTAGCTGAAACAGAAAAAGTCATAGGATTATACGTGATACGCACCATAGTTAAGCCTAATCTTTACTCCATTTGACATCATAGAGTCATACAGCATGGAAACAGACCCTTTGGTCCAACCAGTCCATGCCAAACATAATCCCAAACTAAACTAGTCCCATCTGCCTGCTCCTGGCCCATATCCCTCCAAACTTTTCCTATTCGTGTACTTATCCAAATGTCTTTTAAACATTGTAATTGTACCCGCATCCACCACTTCCTCAGGAAGTTTATTCCACATGTGAGCGCCCTCTGTGTAAAACATTTGGCTCTCATGTTTCTTTAAATCTCTCTCCTTTCACCTTAAAAAGTGCCCCCTAGTCTTGAAAACCCCCATCCTGGGGAAAAGACACCTACCATTAATCCTATCTATACCCCTCATTATTTTAAAAACTTCTATAAGGTCGCCTCTCAACCTCCTACGCTCAAGTGAAAAAAGTCCGAGCCTATCCAGCCTTTCCTTATAATTCAAACCTTCCGTACCTGGTAACAGCTTGGTATATCTCTTCTGAACCCTCTCCAGCTTAATAACATTCTTCCTATAACTAGGCGGCCAAAACTGGATGCAGTAATCCAGAAGAGTCCTCACCAATGTCCTGTACAACCTCAACACGACTTCCCAATACTTTTTGTTTGGAGTTACTGTGTTGGGAAAACTGCAGTAAATCAGGTTTTCGGTTTGTCTTTTTCTCAGTCTAGTTATTGTTCTTGGTAAGATGTCAGTCTTTGTTCCAATTTATCCAAACGACTTGGGTTTGAACATTTATGGGGCTCATTCATTGTAAGATTGAATGGGACCACAAGAATTCAATGTTCTAGACTTATCCTGGAATGTAAAGTTATCTCCCAGCTATATTTTTATTCTTGCATTACCAACTGTCACCTTTGAACTCTCGCCTCCACCATAAATGCAAAGTCTTCATGGTTTTTTTTGTAACCATGGTTGAGCTCATCCGTTCAGCTACATTGGTCGCATCATTTCCCTCACATGTCTCACCGAATCAAATTTACTCCCAGGGTTCCCATTGCCCTGGAATAAAACTTGAGTCTCTCTCCTTCACCTGCCAAATCCAAGCTTATATTGCCCATGAGAACCCAGTTCCCACTAAACTGCTATTTTACTCCAGTTTCCCTCCTGCTCACAGATAACGTTATAAACAGCAATGCCCTGCTGCCAAAATCCATTCATTTGTCATCTTTAGGGTGATTGAAACCTGCACTAGAACACTGAGGTTGTAAAATTGTCACCCTTTCATATGTAACCTTGCCCCTGCCAATCTTTAACAATCTTCAGTTCTACAACAATCTTTATTGCCCTAACTTTGGCATATTATACATTTCACAGAACATTTCCCCACCCCCTCAAAAAATCCAATCCCACTTTCTTCGCCCAATGATTGGTGGCTTGGCCCCGAGCTCTGGAATTCCATCGCCAAGCAACTCATGATTTTTAAGGCGCATCTTTAACAAAGCAACCTTGATTACCTTTTGATTACCCATTGGTCAAGTGTTGACTATTGACTGGATATACTCCTGTGAAGTAGCTATTGGGATATTTGACTGCATTAAAGGTGTTTCATTATAGGAACAATTCATTCTCCAAAATCCCTGATAACAATGAATGAAACATTTTGTGTTTTGTGCAGGGCATATGCAGAAGAAAAATATGGGAAGGAGCTGGTCCATATTGCCCGCAAAGCTGGAGGTCAAATGGAGATAAAGTAAGTGTGTATCTTAAAGTGTTGCCATGTAGTGTTAAATGGAAAATATTTGGAGTGCTTATTGGTGTCTGTTTGCTCTCTGTTGGCTGCTACTTTAAGCTGTTATTTAATAGATTTTGTAATCTTGGATTGGAATTCCCCGTACGGAATATAACAGGTTGAGAAATCTGTTGATCTTATTTTAGGGGAAGTCATCGGAAGAATGTTGCATTGCGTGAAAAGGAATTGAGACGTCTTGTTGACGTTGTACAGGATGTTGGTGAGGCCTCTTCTGGAATACTGTGTGCAGTTCTCATTACCCTGTTACACGGAGGATAGTATTAAACTGGAGAGGGTTCAGAAAAGATTTACCAGGATGTTGCCTGGAATGAAGGGTTTGATCTATAAAAATAGACTGGAAAGGCTGGGACCTTTTTCACAGGAGTGGAGGAGGTTGAGGGGTCACGTTATTGAAGTTTATAAAACCTTGCGGGGTGTCATAGATACGGTGAATGACAAGGGTCTTTTCCCGAGGGTGGGGGAGTTCAAAACTACGGCATATTTTTAAGGTGAGAGGAGAAAAAGTTAAAAAGCTCATGAGGGGCAACTTTTCACAAAGAGTGGTTATTGTGTGGAATGAACCTCCTGAGGAAGTGGTGGATGTAGTCATAGTTACAACATTTAAAAGGCATTTGGATAAGTTCATGAATAGGAAAGGATATGAGCCAAACGCAGGCAGGTGGGACTAGTTTAGTTTGGGACAATGGTCAATGTGGACTAGTTGGACTGAAGGGTCTGTTTCCGTGCTGTATGGCTCTATGACTCTATAAAACAGGCCTGGGTTATTCAGCACCTTGAACCTGTACCACCATTCAGTTAGATCATAGCTGAGCTGTATCTTAACTCTACTAACCTGCATCGATTCTGTAATCTGTAAAAGCTCCAATGAAGATTTATCAATTTCCCATTTGGAAATTTTCAACAGGCTGCCAGCATTTTAGGGGAGAATTTCAGATTTTTTACTATCCTTTGTGTGAATAACTGTTTCCTAACAATCTTCCTGAACTGGTTGGAGTTATAGCCAACTCAAAGGAAGATGGTAGGTATTGTTGGAGGTCCAATCACGTCAGCTCCAGGACATCTCTGTAGCAGTTTCTCAGGGCAGTTTGTTAGACCTAACCATCTTCAGCTGCTTCATCAATGACTTTCTTCCAACATAAGGTCAGAAATAGGGAAGTTCTGTGAGGATTAGCACATGGTCAGCACCATTTGTGACTCTTCAGGTACTGAATCAGTCCATGTCCAAATGCAGCAAGTCATGGACAACATACAGGCTTGGGCTGGAAAGTGGCAACTAACATTTGTGCCACACAAGTGCCAGGCAATAGCCATCTCAAAGAAGAGTGAATCTAAATATTCTTACCTTAGACATTCAGTGGCACTTTCACGGAATCTTCCTGCTATCAATGTTCTGGAGGTATCATTAATCAGAAACTAACTAGACCAGGCATATAAATACTGGTTACTAGAGCAGGTTGTTGACCATCTCTGAGAGACAACAGTATATACATAGATGAAGGTACAGCAGAGATATTTAGACCTCTATAAAACACAATTAATTTATTAAGTACTTAAACAAATAACAAACACTTTTAACTACTGGAGATATCTCAATCACTGTCATTCATTACCCTGATTTTTGTAACTAAACCCAAACGTTATTATCCAGGAGAGTTGGCAGCTGGCCAAACTGTGCTTGATGTCTTCACCATGCCTCCTGACGTAGGGTACTTCTTGCAGCGTTAATCTTCGAAGTTATGCTGAACAATCAGAGGCTTTTGGGCTGCTTCACATATAGGTCTCTTTGTGGTATATGCCTTATTTGAAATTATCCATGCATGTGTCCAATCCTGAATGTTTCATTCAAATGTATGCCTTCCTTGGTAGAAACAGCAGTTACTTAATTCCTGCTCTTGGCAGACCTGAATGACTCAGTGTAACTCCACTCACATAACAGCCTATGGTAAAGCCCAAAACATCAACTTTCTTGCTCCTCTGATGCTGCCTGGCCTGCTTGTGTTCCTCCAGCTCCACACTGTGTTATCTCTTACCAGTTCCTGTTATCTTCAGCCTTATTGAACAAGGTCAGAGGCTAAGAATCCTGCAGCGGGTAGCACCTCCTGACTTCCCAAAGCCTGTCCATCATCTACAAGGCACAAGTCAGGAATGTGATGGAATAATGTCCACTTGCCTAGATGGGTGCAGCTCCAACAACACTTGAGAAGCCTGACACTATCCAGGAGAAGGCAGCCCACTTGATTGGTACCCCATCAACTAGCTTAAACATTTATTCCTTTGCCACTGACTCACAGACGCAACAGTGTGTACCATCTACAAAATGCACTGTAATAACTCACCAAGACTCCTTTGGTAGCACCTTTTCAAACCTAAGACCACACACCACCTAGAAGGACCAGGGCATCAGATGCATGGATATAACACCGCCTGCAGTTCCCTCTCCATGCCACTCAGCATCCTGTCTTGAAAATATGTTGCCATTCCTTCACAATTATCAGGTCAAAATCATGGAATTCCCTTCCTAACAGCGCTATGAGTGCTCCTACACTGGATTGTAGCAGTTCAAGAAGGTGGTTCACCACCAACACCTCAAGGGATTTTGGGGATAGGCAATAACTGCTGGCCTAAATCCATGAACAAAGGAAACAAACACCCTAGCTCTGACCTTAATGTTCCATTCCCTTGCGCTGAAATCCAGCTACCCCACCCCCAGCCACCATTCTCCTACTTCCCCAATACCAGGGAAAATTGCAAATAGTGGGAAACTATTAATTCTTTAATCACTTTAATTAAGTCCCCCCTTAATCATCTATATTCAAGGGAATGCAAACCCAGTATATCCTAAACAACCTTAATGACCTATGTGGTAAGTGGGTTAACCATTTTTTCAATGCAAACCCTTTATTCATTGTCGTATTTGAGGTTAGCACCTTTATGGAAAGAGTAAACTCAGGAATACCACGCTACAAATCTGTTCCTTATTAGTATAGTGCCCAAACATCTTAACCCAGAAGTTTTAAGTAGCTGTTCTTTGATGGGGACAGAAGGATGGTTGGGGGAGATTAAGGTAAAAATGACTCAGCAGTTAAAATAGCAACAATTTATAGTTATAAAGCATCATCTTTAACATAATGTACTATCTCTCGGTGTCACAGTGAGCATATAAGGAGATATTACATCAGATGATCATAAGCTTGGTCAGAATGGCAGAATTTCAAGAAGTATCTAAAAGGAGGAAAACAGCTATTGAATATTCTATATTCTATATTTAAGACTGGGATGAACAAATATTTACAATTGTAGGTTGTGGGAGGGTACAGAAATGTGGAGTTGAAGCCCAATATCATCCATGATCATAGTGAATGATGGTGCAGGAATGATGGGCTGAAAGATCTATTCCTGCTCTTATTTCTTGTGTTATAGTGGGAAATGGAGATGTGTGGAGAATTCCAAAGTTTGGAATCTGGGTAACTCAAGGTACAATGGTGGAGCAGTTGAGTGTGAACTTTTTTATATTCACTTCTGGGACATGCGTGTCGCTGTCTGGGCCAGTATTTATTGCCTGTCCCTAGTTGCCTGTCCCTAGTTGCCTTTGAGAAGGTGGTGATGAGCTGCCTTTTTGAACCACTGCAGTCCACTTGTATAACTTGACCCATAATGCCCTTAGGGAGGGAATGTATAAGAATCTGTTGTGTATATTCATAGCACACAACAATCAAATTATCTTCCCTATTATCTTAATGACAAAATTAACTTGGTTATTTTAAATGGTTTAATGTTTCTGTTTAAATGGCACGTTTTAGGTAAGCAAGTTAATTAACATAACAACATGACTGATTGTTTCTACCTATATTATCAGATAAAAGGTTTTTGCTTTAAACTCAATATTAGTCATTGACTAATAGGATACATAAACACATTTTGGTTTTCAAGTTTTAAACATTTATTGTATTAAATCTAAGGGATATGCATTGTGAGTCTGCAGTGGACAAAATTAACATTGACTAGACTGTTTCTAGATTGCATTGACCCTGCTGCTTCAACTCATTTTGTTAACCATGCTGTAAGAATTTATCATTGTCTGAAGCCTGGCTGGGGCTGAACTATTTAGAAGAAGCTCTTAAGAGCAGGAGTATGCCATTGGGCCCTTTGAGGCTTCGACACCATTTAATAAGATCATAGCTGATCTGATAGTGATCTCAACTCCACTTTCCCATCTGTTTGCCCCTGTAATCCTGGACTCATTCCCCTGTCAATCAAAGATCTATCTAATTCAGCCTTGAATAAATTCAATGACCCAACCTCCATGCTTTCTTGAAAACAGAATGCCATATACTAACAGCCCCTGAGAGAAATAAATTTTCCTCATCTCTGTCTTAAAAAGCAGACCTTTTTATTCTTAAACTTTGACCCATAGTGCTAGTCTATCCCATAAGAAGAATCATCTTCACCCATCCACTCAATGAAGATCCCTCAGGATCACATATGTTCTAACTGTAAATGGGTATTGGTCCGGCCCATTCAACCATTCTTCATACAATAAGCCCTTCGTTTCCAGAACTGAGTCAAACGAACCTTCTCTGAACTGCTTTGAATATACTTTTTAAAATACAGAGACCAAAACTGCACAAAGCACTTCAGATGTGGTCTCATCAAGGCAGCACTCTGTGCAGCTGCAGTAAAACTTCTGTACTTTTATATTCTATTCTGCTTGTAATAAACGGCAACATACTATCTACTGTAAGTGTGGACTGACTTCTGTGAGTCGTGCACCAGGACATTCAGGTTCCTGTACCTCAGAGTTTTGCAGTCTGTCTCCATTAAAGTAGTGTACAGCTTTCCTATTCTTTGTACCAAAGTGAACAAGTTCACCATTTTCCACATTATATGCCATCTGACAAATTTTTGCCCAGTCACTTTCAACCTGACGTCTTTGCAGATTC